ACAAATCAAACAATTAAAACATGGACGCATAGTGGTATAAGGCTATTATGCCGACTGTATTCACCTTCATTCAGCAATATTGTTAAGCAATGCAATGGAATCTAATAATGGACCTAGAAAACAATTTTTAGGCGTCTAATAAAGCATGTTCAGTGTTCACTCGGCTGTCGACAAAAGCAGACCACTCTCGATGTGTGCTACGCGATCGTCTGTTTTCTCGGCAGCAACCATTGTGTGGTCCTCCTCATTGTTCTTCATCAGCAGTTCTTTCGGTCGATGCGTCGTCGACTTTGGAAAGCAACCGTTTCGTGATGAGTGTGTGAGTGCTGACCACGTTTTACGTCCATTGTTGCAATGGACGCGCTCTGACCCTCGTTGGCGTACAACAATTTGCCATACAATGAAACTACTGGAAGCGGCTCCAGTTCTGATGGAGGAGGCTTTTTGGATAGCGGAAGATAAAGTGTTTATTGTGTTGTACCTTTTGACTATATTTTTAAGATGTATTGTATAGTGACCAAGAATCCTCGGCTCTGTAAAGTTAATTCGGTTGAGCCTTATCAAATAAATTAATTAACAAAAAAAATAAAGCATGTTATTAAATCAATTGATAACAGTCGAATTTATGCGTCAATGTATGTGCAAATTATATTTATTCAGTGTGTTATTAGATCAAACTTCTGGTGTTGAATCAGGAAGACAGTAATTGTTTGTTTAGCTTTTAATAAGTATAATAATCAAATTAGAGAAAACAGCGGAAAAAAGGCGCATCTATCGATCTGAATGAGTTTTTTTCAGCTCCTAACTTGACAACCCCTTTTATTCAGCATTGTTCACTGTTATAAAGCATTTATTCGACATATATGCTTATTTGTGACTTTGAATTGTTTGTTGGGTACTGAAATTCGGTAGTGAGTGTTCAAAAGGGCCTACTTCTAATGGTCGATTCTTTTCATCGATTTTCTCTTTACATTGCTACAGCTAAGCGAAACAATTCAGATTCTCTTCATCGACTTTCTCCTTGAATCCACTCGGCCCAGGTATATTCAGTACACATATCGATAAAAGAAGTTTTCATCTAGCATCTAATACGACGAATACAAGAAACGGTTATGTGCTCAAGTTATTAACGGAAGTGAACGTCGGCGAAGAGAATCGATCATGGCTTGTTCAGCTTGAATATTATTTGAAATATGTTCAATGTAGTGCTGTTACAGGTTGTATTGGTTATCAAAAGCAACAGCAAATGCACCGAGAAATGTTAATCCAAGCGAGTTATTAACAAAAGAGAAAATCGATCATCGCGGTTACATCTTTATGTATGCTCACTGTCGAATTTGTAATCTGTGATAGATATGGAAGTCACTTTTTTTCCCACCACAGAAACGCCCCCTACGTAAACCATGCAGTCGTTTCTTGTACACAACCCCACCATTTTTTTTTCTTACTGCGAACACGTCACTTTTATTCAGTTTACTGTCTGCAAAAACGAACCCTTTTATCCACCATACCAGTGATTTATCGTGGTAGTGCAGAGGATTTCTCGGCTTCAAACAAAGCTACAACATACCCTAGGAAAGTAAAATAATAACCTGATATCACCTTGAAAACAATTCTTGTTATTCCAGATATCATTTTGTTTTCATTTGCTATCGCATAACTAAATTTGGTATCAACCTCGACTAATTTTGTTCTCCGTTGTCTTCATGACCGAATATGAAATGATGCAAGGTTAATTCAAAACTTCAAATATAATCCGCATGGTAAAAAATAACCCTGCCAATCATCAGTGTAAGTCTTTTATACCAAATCGATCAAATAATTTGAAATTTGTTGAAAACATTTGCATGGATCACAGGATTTGTTATCAAGAGTATTCTTTTGTTATAATTGTTGTTATGTTGGCTGTTTACCCGATAAATGTAAGGCAAGGCATAACAAAATTATAACAACTGGAGTTTAAATTCGATATAATCTATCGCATTCAAAAAATATACATCCATAACAACCGTTGTTATAAATTAGATATAAAATTTGCCATATTTCAGGTATACAAAAAATATACATCCATAACAACCGTTGTTATAAATTAGATATAAAATTTGCCATATTTCTGGTAATGGCTATGCCGTTTCTTTTCACATTTTTCGAATCTAAATCAAATAATGAATTAGAATTCATCAAATGTAGGTCATTTTTATTAATTAAGAGTCATTTTTCTGGCTTCTTTTTCCATAATATGCCAGAATTGGCTTCATAATGTGTGGTGCTTCATCAGCCAAAGATTTTGCAGCAGCTTGTTTGTCTCCCCGATAAATGCAGAGTTCCAACAACCGATCTGAGAGAAAAATTGGTTGGTTTAGAAATTCTGAATGAATGAATGAAAAAATAAGGTTACCTCGCACATATTTCACTTTTTCCGGCTCAATTGGAACGCGTTTAATCGTGTTATGTGGCAGTTGAGCCCGATGATTAGTTGCCGTCGTTCGTGGATTACTAGAGGATCTTCCATCAAATCATGAGATTCCTATGGTGATGGAATTTCATTCATCATCTGGTTCAGAAGTAGTAGGTAGCCAATTTATTTCGGATCGCGGTCGGTAGATTTTTCCGATGACAAATCAGAAAAATAGGAAGATTTTTTACAAGCCGAATTCTTCGAAGGATGTGATGAACGATGTTCCGGATCGGTATTTATTATCTTATTAATTCAAGGTATACAAGACAGAGAAAATCCTATCTTCTTTCAGGAGCCTTCGAGTTACGATCAATCGGCAACATTTCATGACAACATTCGTGTCAAAGACATAATGTTTATGGCACAGAATTTTTACATAAGGCACAAGCTTACCCAAGTAGGTTTGGAAGACTTTATGAAAATTTTGATCTTTTCCCGAAAGCTTTACCACTTTTACCAATGCTGTCCCAGCTCCGAAAGGGTTTATTTTTGTGTGAATTATCCTTGTCGTCTTCTTGTTCAATAATGACAGCACACTAACAACCTATTTTATTTTAAGATATGAAGCTGCTCAACAACTTGAACCTCTATGCCCTGTGGAAAACTGTGGATCAATTAAAACGGACTTTTTTGTTACTTTTCCCATATAGCAGTAGATCAGATAATCTTTTTTGAAATATTCCAAAGAGATAGCTGAAGACACAGGTTATTCCTGAAAAAATTCACGATATAAGCCGTTTATGATTTAAACAATCATTGACAATCATTCGATAATCTTATCATTTCTTACTATCTATTCACAGATGGCTCTAATATTCGTCACTTAGAAACAGAACATTGTGGATAAACCTATATTTTGGAATCAATAATACATATTTTATGTATTGAAAGTAATTATAACTGACTTTGTTATAATTCTCATATGATGAGAAACTTCGCACAAATCACTTTTCACTTATATATCAAAATATAACACACGTTGATATAAATACCAATTAATATAATTTTGTTATGGCCTTCTGATCGGGTATTCAACCACAATAATAACATGTTCAGTTATCAAATCTTGATAACGGGTATCAGATCTTGTTATCAATTTGGTATATTCCTTTGCTCGGATATTCCTTCCTATTTCTTAGTTGACCTGTAGTTGGATGCGATAGCTCGATAGTCCCAGGCATCATCTGTTGGTTCTCTGTATAATTACAGTTGATCTGGCAATAACGGAGTAGTATCCGCGGGTGGACAATCATGCTCATGCTGTTATTTATTTACGTGTTGCTATACAACAGCACATACTCGTAAGTTGAAAGACGTAGCCGAAATATTTTATTCAGATTCCCACGCTATTCATGGCCCTACATAATTCACCTGTTGTTTTATGGCTCCATCTAGAAAAGGAAGGCATAAACGAATCATAAGATTCATGGATCCTCCAGTATGGTATTGTGGCATGGCCAGTTTGTATGACGTCATACTTACTCCGTGCATCACGCTATCGAGTTCACTGGGCAGAAATGCGTGGGACGTTTCTGGAAAAGCACGATGTAAGAGCATCATAATCATCAACATCATCAGCATCATCATCTTCCCAGAACACTAGCTACTCCGGCATCGAGATCTTTCTGCACTGCACTGAGTAAAAGTTGCCTGGCCCTTAATACTGGAAGGGTGACAATGATGGCTTGAAGCCTTCTGCACGTCCCAACTCGAATCTCGTGGCCTCTCACGTGCTCGTATGTGCCCTTTTTCTCCTAACAACGTGCTTACAAAAAAACAATAAACACCATGAGGATTTCCAAGTTATTTGGAATTCTTTGTCGTTGACTGTCGGTCATCCACCGGTCTCTTGGTTCTCGCTTAACCGAGGCCGTAAAGTTTCAAAGCCGGGAAACGCGCACGTTACTGGTTCGCTGACTCGGATGCTGCTGCTGATATCTAATAACGGAGGTTTTTTTTTTCATCCTTGAGGGCAAAGGAGAATAAAAAGAGCAAAAGTTTTCCGGTTCGCTATCTGTTCTGCCTTCCGTTTGGTTTGGGACTGTAGGTACCGCCGTAATTGCTGTAGCTGTGAGGCTCGTACATATGTATTTGTACGTGGGTGTACATTTTCCAAGCCACGGCTTCCGTTTGTACTTGGCGAATGAGTGATGGTTCTGTTTTGTTTTTCAACCCAACCCAACTGGACTTGCTGGCAGGCTGGTTGGGTATGAAACTTGGTTTTAGATTTCTATCTCTGCCGGCTGTGGGTGGATGGGTGGCTGTTGCTTTATATGGTGGATTTGGACGGTTTACTGTGCAACGATGGGAACGGTTGATACATATCTTTGTCTGTGTTGTGGAATGTTATTGCACATGAAACTTGGATCTCTGGAGGATGATGAAGCTTGTTTGCTCATGATTCAACAGTTTGTGAAATGACCGTATTTAATTTCGCTTCTTGACCAAATAGATTTTGATATCTTCGTACAGCTGCACTGGTATCGGGGGAAATGTTAATGATCTCTTCTTTCTCATTTCTTTTCTTTATTTCCGTTGACAGTGATGAGAACACGGCGGTCAATCACTCGGGAGCAATAGCGCAACTGACCAACGCCGAACCGGATGGCTGGCGGAGGCCCCGAAGTGAGTCGTCTGCCGATGTGGAAAGCGTCTACATGACCAACGCGGTCATCTCGGACTCGGGCTACGGGCACGGGATGCTCTCTCGGCGATCTAGTGTAAGTATACCGTTCATTTATTGCACTGCTTTTCAAATAGTCCAATCTGCTACAGGAAAAGTTTTTGAAGCCGCTGGTTTAACGTAAACGAAAGTAGAGGAAATGATGTCAAATTTTGACAGTTTTTGTCTCTCAAAGACTCACGTCACGCTTACTCAAATTTACCTTCCACGCAATCCTTTCCCAGGTGCTCGCTTCTTACACACATTCTTCTTATTTATTTGCTTATCAGATCTTTCTAATTTTTACAAACAATTAAAAAATAACTCACTTTTCTTTCTTACACTGTAATCACTACTTTCATACTTACGTACTTTTCATTCATTTGTTGATAACACACTAAATTTATTATTCAATAACCAATAATTCATTTGTCACTTTTCTTTTCTCTAATTCTTCTCCTACCCAATTATTTAACTCCTTTGAATACATTTTCACTTATCAGTTAACATATTCATCAGTTTTTGTTTGAGTCACTATACATAATAGGACAGTGGTTTTCAAACTTTTGTCAGTTACGACCCACTTTGAGACATTCCATAAGCTCGCGACCCACCAATATTGATTACAGATGTTGTTCGGTAAACATTACCGTAATAACTACTAAATGGCAGTAAAAAACCTTAGAACTGCATGATTAATACCTAAGAAACGACGCCAAATTTACCAAAAAAGTGTTATACTGTACAATACCAAAAACAATAAGTAAAACCAACTATTTTGCACAATCAGGCCTTCTTGAATGTGATATGGCCGTAGACCGGATTTACTACTACTTGAAAATACGTCTTAGCTTGATGAGAGACAAACTTGGAATGGCATTTTATTTCAGACTATGAGAATACATTTATTTGTAGGTTGCTTCGATTATTCGTCGCTTGGTAGTTTTCTACCTCCAACACTCCTCCTCGACGAAAGAATCATGGATGCATCTCGAAACCGCGTTTGCTTGATACGTTGAAGAGGCTGCGTCACCATGTCTGCAATCATTTCGTTTGTTGGAAGGTACTGTGGACTGATGATTCCTTGCACCTTCAGTTGACGCGCATAGTGGTACTTCGCGTCAACATGCTTTGAACGTCGCTCGCTGGAGTTGGATTCGAGTTGCTTGATGGCGCTCTGGTTGTCCTCGTTCACAGTAACCGGAAACTTGGTGTGGATTCCCAGATCGTTGAATAGACGTAATATCCAGCATAACTCCTCTCCGTTATAGCAACGTACCGTAAAACGGGGTAACATTGATAGTTTTTTAAAGTATATTCTAAATATTTTTTACAGCAATGACTGTTTTTGAAATTTTATGTTTTTAAAACAAGTACTGAGGATCCAAGAGTTAATTTGTTAGTAATATGTTGAACTAATTTTCGTTTAGCATTTGCACTATTTTTTTAGTTTTATGACCGAACTTCAGTATTTTGATTTGGGGTTGCTTTGATAATGCTCGATGAATGTAGACAAAATTGAGTGAAACTCAAACAATTTAGTTCTTTAAATATGAAACTTCGAATGAGTATATAATCAGAAAACTTCATAAGTAATAAGAATACAACATTGAATTTGTGATGGCTGTATCGGAAATACATTTCATAAGTGATGGTTTGAGTGTTTTTTAAAAAAGGCGAAAAACACGAAAATGGTTTTTTTTTTATATTTTTGTTAAATATGTAACGCATACTACACAAAAACTATATACCAAATCAACGGAAATACCCTAAGCTACAATATGGAACCAATGTTTCTTATTTGGAAAAAGCACAGCGATTAAATTTATTCTTTATATTATACTATCAAAGTTACCCGCATTATCAAAGATACCCCGTTTTACGGTACTCGGCTTCCGAACTGCTCAATGTTACGCAATCTTGTTTCCTGGAACACCATCCAATCATACCACCTGCATACCGGATCAGGTAGCCTGTGGTTGACTTGCGATCTTTGGTGTCACCAGCCCAGTCGGCATCTACGTACACCTCCAATTGCGTGGAATCGGCTCCCAGGATTAGCTCGTGGTCAATAGTACCTTTTAAGTAAGGATACGCTTCGCCTCCACCCAATCAGCCTGTGATGGGCAACTAAATTTTCTCCCCAGGATTGAAACAGCTGCTGCAACATCAGATCGAGTACACATGGCCACGTACAACAACCCACCAATCAAGCTGGCATACTGATGGTTATTGGGCAGCGGGATCTCCTCCTTTGGATGTAGGTGGCCTGGGTCCAATGGTATAGCGGATGGCTTCGCGTTTTCCAAACCGAATCTGGTCAGAAGCTTCTGGATGTAGGCTCTCTGACTTAGTGCAACGTGTTTCTCGGAACGGAAGACCTGGATACCAAGGAAGTGCTGGATATCCCCGAGCGACGTTACCGTGAAATATTGGTTCAGCTCATTAACGATAGCCTTGTAGTCGTTTTCAGTCTCGCATGCTATAATGAAATCGTCAACATATACAGCAATATAAGCGATTTTACCTCTATTCTGCATGACGTAGAGACAACAATCGTTCATGGACGGCTTTGTCCCCGTTTTGTCCAATTTGTGGTTCCAAATACGGGCGGCTTGCTTCAACCCGTACAATCCTTTGCGAAGACAACAAACCACGTTTTCTGCATCCGCTGTGCATCTAGGAGGCAACCGCATGTAGACGGGTTCTTGTAGCTCATCATTCAAGTACGCTGTCTTGACATCTGCATGTTTGATGAGAAGTTTCTTCTGGCAGGCGACGGAGAATAGTGTCCGGTACGTGGTTTGCTTCACCACGGTAGCAAAAACTTCGTCGTAGTCGACTCCATATTTCTGCGTAAACCCTTGAACGACAAGCCGCGCCTTGTACCGGATGACCCTTCCATTCTTGTCCGTTTTCTTTTTGAAGATCCAGCGACATCCAATGGTTTTCTTACCGGCCGGCAGCATGGTCAACTCCCACACGTTGTTCTCGTACATCGATTGAAATTCATCCTGTATGGCTTGCTTCCACATGTTTTTCTCCGGACCAGTCACAGCTTCTTGATAGGTGCGCGGCTCGTCATTGTCGTGATGTGCAACCCGACTGTTGGCACAGTAGCGTTGAGGTGGAATACCCTTCGTCACCCTGGTTGATAGTCGCTGTGTACCTACAAATTGCTCTACGTGGATTGGTACCGGCTCCTCCTGTGACTCACCTCCATCGAGTGCTTCTGCTTCATCAGCATCTTCGTACAGGCTTTCATCCGAATGTTATTCAACACCGTGGAGATCTTCCTCTTCCATGATTTCACGATCGATTGCTGGTTCAGGTTGTCTCAGCTCTTCCGGTGTATCCGTCTCACTACGGTTTTGATTGAATAGCGATAACGGAAAGAATAACGTACCTTCTTCCTCTGTGGAAATTTCCCCCGTGTCGATCATCGAAGGCAGGAATCGGGTATTCCGGCTAATCGTCACTTTGTTCGTCTTCATGCTGATGAAACGCCATGCTTTGTGTTGCAACGAGTAGCCGACAAAAGTAAGTTTTTCGGCTTTGGATTCGAGTTTCGATTGTTTGACTTCAGGAACAAATACGTATGCTGATGTTCCAAACACTTGCAGGTTCGAAACGTCCGGCTTGACTCCATGCCCAATCTCGTACGGAGCTTGATTAACCGCCTTCGTTGGCAACATGTTTTGCAGATGACTTGCTGTGTTGATTGCTTCTCCCCAGTAGCGATTATGCATACCTGCTTCCAAAAGCATACACCTGGCCATCTCCACCAAGGAACGGTTCTTTCTTTCTGCGACTCCGTTCTGCTGCGGTGAATATGCTGCCGTAAATTGTTGCTGAATACCTTCACGCTTGAGGAACGTCATGGTCTTCGAGCCACGATATTCGCTTCCCTGGTCGGATCTCAGCACTTTCGGCGGTCTGCCAAACTTCGTCTTCATTTTCTGCACATAGTCCTGGATAGCGTCAAATGTTTCTGATTTTTCTCGCATCAGATACAGCGTTGTGTACCGGCTGTGGTCGTCAATAAGCGTCAGGAAATAACGACGACCACCCGGGGTCACCATCCTCATTGGTCCACACAGGTCACTGTGTACCAGGTCCATCACAGCCGTCGTTTTCTTCGTTGCTTCCTTTGGAAATGGCAAAACCAAACCGCACTGCTTAATATTGATGCCCGTCGCCAATTGTCGTTGCTCCAGTTCTTGGACTGCCTTGACATCACGGGGACCGAGCTTACGGTGCCAGTCATGCAAACAGTTCTTCTTATTGCAATGCTCAATTGCCGCACCCTGCGTTCCTCCATCTGCAAGTGGTAGAGACCGTTGCCACGCCTTGCTACAGCCGCAATTCGTGTACCTTTGACAATCGTACAGCCATTGTCGTTGGACTCTACCGCTGCGCCTTTCTGGACGAGTTTTCCGACGGAAACGAGGTTCATGTCCAGATCTGGGACGTACAGGACACCGGTGAGCACGATTTGCTTTGCTTCGCTGTCTTTCCCGTAGCAATGGATCTGGCAGTTCCCCACACCTTTCACGAATGCTTTCTTCCCATTAGCGACAGTAACGAAACTTGGGATATCATCTCGTGGTTTCTCAACGGATACGAAAAACTTTCGATTGGCGCACATGTGGGAGCTGGCTCCAGAATCCACGATCCATTTCGTCACTGGTCCTTCACGAGCTCTGAAAACGAAATCCTCTTCAGTGGACTCCGTTTTTCTTGCATTTGCCTGTTGCTTGGCAAACTTCTTGGTTTCCTTGGCAACCGATTTTTCACTTCGAGAAACTTCATCCTGGCTCTGTTTCTGCCAAATTCTGCAGTCTCGCTTCTTGTGGCCGACCTTCTGGCAGTGGTGGTACACAATGGATTTCGATTTCCCGGCCACCTTCAATACCGCTGAATCCGCCGGAACAGTCCCTTTTCGCTTCTGCACCTCATTGATAATTTTATCCTTTACAAGCGCCAGCGTCAGCTCGTCCTCCGATCGATTTTCGAGGGTAATCGTCAGCGCGTCGAAAGAGCTTGGTAGACTGTGGA